AAAATTTCTCACAAACTGCTCCATTAAAACAAAAGATAAGACGCCACTCCGTAAATAACGGGTGTATATAAAGTATCTTGGTGCGAACGAGCCGTTGATCCTCGAGCAAATTGTACGATTGATCCTTCGATGAGAAAGACGTATGCGTGTATCGTAGTTCATATTTCATGAGGATCGAGCATTTGGTATCGAGCATTCGAAGCAGGTTCGAAGTGTTTGTTACCGCACCGATAAGGGCTGCTAGCTGCTTGGGGGAGCGCAGAAGGAGGGCTTGTGTAACTGCAACATCTGTTGGCGAAGATCTTAAAGGTCTATCCCCGCGACGGTATCCCGCATCTGTTGTTCGGACATTTCGACACATCGCGAGCTTTTCCATGGGGGAGAAAGCGGCGTTCGCCGGAAAGATTCGGAATCGTAAAGAGGCGCGGATGATGGGCGAAGTTGCGATCTCACCATGACTCGCAACATCCGAGGGATTTGTACCGAGGTTATTTATCGGTTCGACGTCGAGATTGCGATTCTATAGATTCGAAGGATCGATTCGAGATTTTGCAAAATTTATTGCTATTCAATACACCGATCATCAATAACGTTTATAAAAGATATTCTAATATTTCATTTATTATCCTTATACTGAAACAACTTTTTCTATTTAACCCTTCGACGGCGGACCATGGAGAGAACCTCAATTTTAATTTATAATAGTATTGTATTTTATATTATTTTCATTTTTTAAATTTGACACTGTTCCTTTAAAAATTATTCTCCCAATATATGAAACCCCTCTGTTTGAAAATTATACATTTAACTTTAGCTTAATCCCCTTATATACGTTCTGTAAATTTAAATCACGAAGGATCCGTTTTTCATTTTCATTTTCTAAATTTGACACTGTTCCTTTAAAAATTATTCTCCCAATATATGAAACCCCTCTGTTTGAAAATTATACATTTAACTTTAGTTTAATCCCCTTATATACGTTCTGTAAATTTAAATCACGAAGGATCCGTTTTTCATTTTCATTTTCTAAATTTGACACTGTTCCTTTAAAAATTATTCTCCCAATATATGAAACCCCTCTGTTTGAAAATTATACATTTAACTTTAGTTTAATCCCCTTATATACGTTCTGTAAACTTAAATCACGAAGGATCCGTTATTTAAATGTTAGACATGTAACAGTTTTTTCCATCTCCAATTTTGGGGTGAACATTTTTATAGTACCGTGAATCGCAATTTTCGATCACAAGTCTTGCGTGAAGCTCTCCGACATCTGCTCGAATCTTCGATTTTCTGCACTAGGGGTACTCTTTCCAGAGACAGTAAAACCATTCAGTGAAACTTTTCTTCCTTTCCTCGACGTATAAACACTTTCTTTCTGCCATTTAGACTGCCACTATTGAATAACATAAAAATATTGCAAAATGGAGTGTGCAATAGCCTTTTTTAATTTCAGCTTTAAATTGATCCTCTGAAAACTCGCAGCGAGCAAGAAAATTCCGCGACATGCGTTTTCCCCGGATGTGAAAGCAAGATAATCGTTGAACGGTTTCATTTCTAACAACACGGTTAACTTACTACCACCAAGACGTCTTTCACCCCTTCGCGCCACACGACGATTTTACCGCCACTCCGTTCAGACACACTACCGCTTTAATGGCAGGCTGAGACTCAATGGAATCTCCCGCTATCCTTTCCAAGCGAACGTGTGACGTTCCTCCGTTCCTCGGCGCAGTAAATTCTTCATCGTCGTAAATCTTGGCGGCGAGTGCCACCCTCGGTGGTCTTTGCGGCAATAAATACGAATCGTCGACGCGGCCTGTTTGACTTTCTCGCGTCCACGGGAAGCCATTGCTACTGCTTCGATCCACGTCCGACCGTACGTCCTGATTTTCACGGGGAATTAAAAGTTCTCTCGGTTTCTGGCCACCGCGACGCGCAACGTCCGACGAGATTTCCGGTGACTCCTTCGTGACGAGGAATTTCCCTCGAGACAAGCGTGTGTCAAGACACTCCTCTTGGACTGTCTATTCCTTTTCCATCACCCTCTCAGACAATATTCTCGCTGCATGAAAGTAGTATTTCAAGAGGATGCCATGGGAATATCTCAGTATTCCTTTATTTGAAGTATCTTGATAGCTTCTGAAACACTTGGAATGTCAATGAACGAATTTGTCGAGATTTAGATATTCAGAGGAATTAAAAATTCTCTTATTGACTCTTATCACTTTGCTTCAGAATGTATGTAAAATAAAAGACATCAAAATGCAAAACGTGTAAAAATATTCAATTTATAAAAAGAAGAAAAGGAAGACGACTGTCTGAACGCATTCTTCATTGAAAGAAAGTATAAGCAAGGAAGAAGGAAACATCTGGGAAACGTCCGTAGAAAAACTTTCCTGTTACCTATTACCATTCTCGAAATTTACGAACTTCATTCCCGCGATAACAAGTTTCGAAAGTCGCTGCTTCGCGACACACCCCGCTTGTACACAGACACTCGCTTATTCGCATACTGCAGGAGTATTGCCGCGTTTTCACGAATATCTACTTTCGTGCCCCCCGCTCGCCATTTCCCGAGGGATAGCCGGCTTGGATGGAGAAGGCACCGCGAAGAAATTGATTGAGACGTATCTTCGTCTGAGACGGATATTAAAACAGTCTGCACGGGAAACAAGAATGTAAGTGTACGGGTGTCAAGAGGAGAATTTCCCGTTGCCGAGAAACACGCAACGCGAGTTTTCTTTCGTTCGTTCGCGTGCGATGGAACGGGCGGGAAAACGAGAAAATTCGGATGGATAAATCGAGCTGTCCGAACGGCCGGATTAAATTTAATAATACAGATACGGCCAATCTCGGAGAGTGGTGGCCGCTTGCCTTCTGTTCGTTAATGTTTAACCGTGTTTGAAACGCACGGCCGTCAGACGAGCCGGAAGAGATCGTGGATGTTGCCTTTCGAGACTTTCCTTTCCCCGCTGCGTGCACGAAAACGATTTACCTTCGATGAATTATTCAGTCGGATTGAATTTTGTTGCTTCTCGATTCGGTTTACCGTCTTGATGATATGATAACAATTTTTGAAAGTAGGGATGAGATCAGGTTCAGTATATACCCACCGATCTAAGTCAATTCGGAAACCCAAGTTTGGACTCGCAAGATTCGAATGACATAAAATTTGTTATTGCTCCGAGAATCACTTATAAAATATTATTTATGATTCTTAAAAATATTTGCAAAATTTGTAAATGTAGGTATTTGAGATATAATTTGATGATTACTCGAATTCTAAGAATTATTTTGATTCAAACAAAAAGGTTCTCAGATTTTAAGTGGTCGTGGATAATTTTTCATTTATTTAAAATTCCAAAAGTCAAAGGTAGTCTTGGTTATTGCTTCTAATAGAATAATACGTTATCGCGTAATGAATAAATTAAAAGAATAGAAAGTTACCTTTTCATTGTATCTTTATTACAAGAGATCCAAAATGTATTCGATTCTCTTAAATCCCAAAGTATACCCTAATGAATAATGTATAAAGTACGCGCTTTCGAGCCGGAACTCTCCGAACGTGTTAGCCTCGATGAGAAGGTAAACCATTGTTACACCTGTCAGAACAATTTCATCGTACCTGGATCATGCGACCTTCCAAAAGTCGACCGCTAAGAGATTGCAGGCAACAAATGAAATTACCTGGCGGCCGCGCAGCCACTTTCTTCGACGGACCCTTCCGTCGATTATCATCTCCGAACTTTCTACGAGGGTGTAATAACATTGACGCTCGATGGAAGGCCCCACGAAGAATTTACTTAGTGAAATTTATAAATTCTTGATGAGCCGAGAGAGGTGTTTCGGCGAATAAGTTCGCTCGTCTCGAATAATAATTGAATATTTTATCAGATGTAGTAAAATAACATTGAAACCCAAATTATCAAGGATACAAGCAATTAATTTTCAAATTAAACATTTTAATTTATTTCAATCCATCCCAAAAATTTCTTCTTATTTCCTGAATCTTTTGTTTTAATAGAAATTGCAGCTTTCCTTTTCCTGTTCCGTTTTCAGTCCTTCCAAGGGTTCGTGCAATCTTTAATAAGCGTAATATCTTACGATCTTAAATCGAGTCTCCAGTTTCATCGTTGAAAACGAAGAAAACGCGATGCTGACTGGTTGTCTCTTATACTTCGAGCCACATTGTTTACGAGGAAACAATGCTCGTAATTTCTTCGCGAAACTTAAGTGGTAGCAGGGGAGTGAAAAGTTTGAGAAGTCGATGAAACTGCTCGGCAGAGGTATGAGAAGGGGAAGAGAAAAAAATTGGAGGAAGGAATTTCGATTGTATTGTTTCTGTTAAGTGAAAGAGCTCAGCCTATCTATTGACGAGTACGAGACGTTCCATTATCATACCTCTACAAAGCCACGTCCAAAGTCACGGTCGATTGTTTCTTCTCGAAGGAAGTATTCCCCGTCGGCTATTATCGAGTCCTTGCTTCGAGAGCAGAGTTATCGATGACACAATTATCTCGCGTAGTAAGCTAATCGATTATCCGAGCTTTGATAAATGTTTTCCCTCTTGTTTCACGTCTTACTAAAACACTCCTTTAATTGATGCATTATGTAGAATATATTTTGGAGCTGAAATATTTATCCAGAAATATCTTTTCTAATAAGAGAATGAAAAATTGAAAAATTAAGTGTTAACGAGAAGAAATGAATGGAACCCAATTTATGAAAAATTTCATGTCACACTCTACCCGTACCATGTACCTTTCAGAACTTGAAATTTCGAGCACATCCGCAAAGACTGGGATCGTGCATACCGCTCACTTCCTGTCGCCGTGAATCTTTGCGGTACCGAGTTTCGGTTCGTTCCAATTACGAGGGTGGGCCATAAAATCTGCGAACAGGGAGATGTTGCTCGCGTCGTCTACGGTGTATGCGTATAATCGATGTTTACCCCCGGGGAATTTCACGGCGTCTAACTGTCGGGTGACTCATTTCAGGCGGCGGTCTGGCGCGTCCGAAGATGACACTGAATCTGGACGCTGGAAACGGTGTGAACAACGGTGGAAACGGTGGTGGTCAGATAGCGCCGAAAAAACCTGGTGGTCTCAGCCTTGGATTGCCGCTGGAGATTAATACAGCCAGAGGATCCGCTGATCTGGTTGACGTGGACCTCCCTCTCGAGAGACAGGGGTATGTTCTTTAATTTTATTTATTTTACAGCATACAATGAAAATTTTCAAATGATAATCAATACTAATTATTAATTGTTACGACTTACGTGGCAATTTGAATAAAATAAGAATATTCAAGAGTGGAAAGAGATATGTATCTACCGTGAAAGTTTTCATAATTTTATAAATTGATTTTCTTTCTTTCACTCGTAGATGGTACCACGGATCCATCACGAGAATCGAGGCTGAAGCTGTCCTACGTCTTCTGAGGGAAGGAAGTTACTTAGTGAGGAACAGCGAGTCGACCAAACAAGATTATTCCTTGTCACTGAAGTAAGTTTCACGTATCATGCAAGTAATATTCGAACTCTTATTCGAATTTCGAATTCAAACAGAAAACGTTGAATCGAATTCTGCTTTCTCGTTTACAGAAGCGCCCGTGGTTTTATGCATATGCGTATCCAGAAAAACGAGGAACTGAACGCTTATATTCTGGGACAGTTCAGCAAGCCTTTCGACAGCATACCGGAAATGGTTCGCCATTTTAGCGTGAACCGTCTTCCAATACGCGGTGCCGAGCACATGTGTCTTCTGCATCCGGTCATAGCTCAGCTTTTGTAGCGCATCTATCGTAGCGCCGTTTAAGGTGCTCCCATTTTTTGATATCCCCTTTACCTTCGAGAATAACAAAGAACCTGGATAGTGTCCTGGAAAAGAATACCCTCCGAAAAGAATCGTCGATGCTTGTATAAAAGAACGGGAGGGTATCGTTGTGCATAGATATAATTTTCCATTGGAAAATTTTGGATAGAAAACAGTTAACACGTTGATTGCCATGGGGTTTAAATAAATTTCGTCATAAATTAAGGTAATTTTGAAAGAGATAGTACATGTTTTTAATAACATCTCGAAATCAAATATTTTAATAATATTGAATATTATATTTAACGATTTATGTAGTTGATAATCTTTTACAGAACACGTAATTATTACAACTTAGTATTTTGAAAATAAGATTTTAGCTTGTGGTCCATCTTTTTTTCATTATGATGGATAAGATAAAACGCTTTTATTAAAATCATACTAGATAACAGAATAAATATTACAGAATGCAGTGTATACCAAGTAGTATGAATACAATACACTCGCGATTAAATTAAGCTTTCATAGGGAAAATAAGAATTTTCAAAATCTTAATATTAAAAAAGATTAAGAAAAAATAACTTTTAATTATTAAATATTATAAAATTTAGCATATAATTGTAAAATAGTGGTGGGGAACCACGGACCTACATATATTATATATGAGGTCTCCTCCTCTACATCGTCATTCTTCTCGGGAACGCCTAAGGGGTGAGACGGGAATCCGGTCATGGGTCAGGAACCCCGAGACCCCGGAGTCTGAGAACTCGAGGAAGCCTACGGAGAAAGTCGGAACTCGGAAGTCCGTGAAAGCCGGGGGAGGATCGCTATCTTTCCTGAGGAAGCCTGATTTCATCTCGAGTATACTTATTCAATCCATCTATACCTGAATTATTATAATTTTCAAAGTAGGTACTATTAGAATTGAAATAGTCTTCTATTGTATTTTAATAGTTTCTTATAATTTCATACGTCCGAACAGTTAACAATCCACACTACCATGTGCCATATTAATAATAATGAAATTTCCTATGGCAATCACCGTGTTAAAAAGTACTTCGTACTTCCATAGAACTTTCACTGAGCCTCGAGATCCATTCGGGGCTGTTTAACAACAAATTTTCCGAGCTTCCAGGGTGAATGTAAAGGTAATAAAAAACAGTAATGGAGTCGAACGGGATGGACGAAACTATTCACGGGGAATAACACAGTACAAAGCGCGTAATCGGTGAAAAAGTTTTCGTAGGCTTAGCGAGCAATCCTTAATGGATAATCTCATTCATTTACGTAACTTCTCGAGTAAAGCTTTATTAGTGGCGCGAAGATGAAATTAGTCGTTGTAAGGTGTTTAATTGCAATGCTTCGAAACTATTCCGACCGTAGCGACAAGCTCTCAATGTCTATCGAAGAAACGAACGTCTGCAGAATCTGTCTCGTCTTCCCCCAGAAAGTATCGCGCAAATCTACCAGAGGTTTTGCACTTTATTTTCCCGAAATCGATTGATTACTTGCGCTTGATTGATCGGACAGGATTTTCATTTAATTAGCACGACGAATGGAAATCCTGAAGAAGTACAAGACGGAATAAAAGAAATTCTGTATTTTCAGAGAGATTCTGAGGTTCAAAATCGAATGGTCGTTGTACGAACGACGGAAATAAGCACCGTAAGAGCTTTAGAAAAACAAAATGGTTGTTCCTTGTGCTCGTGGCTCACGTAAGCCGCGAGTTTCGCGTAAGAAATTATCGATGGGATCAGAATCGCTGTACTACAAGCGGCTAATCTAGCGAGGCGTCAGATAACACGCGTACTTTAGATTTAGGTATACAGGTAGCTGGCCGGAATGGCCTCTGCGACGGAGCTGGAAGCCAAAGAAATGAGTTCAATCGTGCGAGGAGACAGAAGGGTGAAGATGGGGTAAATGAACGAGCAAAAAGCGGTACGGCCACGAATTAAAATGCCAAAGTTTATCGCTAATCGTAATGATCATTTTTAATCAGGGTTTTTGTTGTCGTTGAGAAACGATTAGGCTCGGATCTGTATGCTTGATCGACAACGAGTTACTTTGTGTTTTTTTTTTGTTTTTTTTTTCGATATTGCGAATCGAATCGAATTCGAAGATGATACAATTTGTTCGTCCTTACTGATCGGTAAGAGGATTAAGTCGAAGGAGAAGAAAGGTCGATCGAGATCAGTGAATCCGAACCATCGATGGCTCGTAAATTCGAGTCATCCGTCCGACAGGTCTCTTATTTTTGAGGAGATTTTTGTGAGCGGAGGCAACCGATACATATTTTTTCATGTGATATCAATTTGTTACAGAGATAGCCTAGTTTCACCTGTGATCTGTTACTTAGTTCCCTTTTATCCGTGTCTGTTGGTTGCTGTGTGCAATATTCTCGTACGGTACGATTATGACTAACGATAATAAGTACTACCTAATGATAAAATAGGGTTTACGGTAATAAACGGTAACGATTTAACGGTAACGGTAATCGATTAAGTAACCTGCTAATTTAATTGGGTAATCAGCAACGACGCGTAATCAGTCGCGACACGAGAGACGTCCGTGGTGTTACAATAATTATTTCACGATAAGGATTCGATTGAGCGAACTTACCTTTCGTTAATCGTTCGCTTCGTGGTGAATGGTAAGCAAAGATTCGATTTAGAGAACCTAGAACTCATGTAGCGAGTGCCATGTAATCAGAATAGAATCTCTTCCATGATTTCAATCCAGAATAAACACGTTCGCTGAAGGGAACATTTTAAGTAAAAACTTACTTAATTCAGCCAATCATTATAAATGGACAAATGAATAATTTTACAAAAGTGAAAATTAATCATGATTCAATTTTATTAATAAATTGGCTTAATAGCGAATTCAAAATTTGATATTAATAAAAACCAATGAAAATTTAATATACACTATAAAAATGGATATTAATATACTCAGTGAAAGTGTTAACTGTTATGACTTTTCGAATTTACGTTTTGTTGATTCTTTTATTATTTTCACCAACGATAAAAAAAGCAGCTCGATGAAAATTCTAAAAGTCATAACTTAATTCGAATCATCGTGAAGTTTACAGATATGCAATTATTTAACTACTTCCATTCGTTTGTTGATTTCATTGCTTGAAATCACGCGTGAACGTGATACTAGTCGTAGTGTGTTCAATTTTGTTACCTGAATTATTACGTAGAGCTGTTTTTGCTATTGTATCCGGCACTCTCTACCATTGTCCCTCGATTAGGTTCGGTATAATTATAAATACACACGTTGTACGTTTAAGCTGCCAGTATTATTAACTGTAATCGATAATGCATATCCATGTTAATGTTTAAGAGACATTGTATTGTACCCTGCTCCTTAACGAATGATTATGAGCGACGAAAAAAGTATACTCTTATCTCTCTATGTATATTTATTTGACATTATATTTATTGCATTGTGTCGTTAAGCAAAAATGATGTTGCTGTCATGATTCCGTGTATACCGTTTCTTAATCTTTAAGATGATAGCGAGATAACTCATGGTAATCTATTAGAGTAACTGGTAATCATAGTAAACGTAGATTAATAACGTCGTTTAAATATGACGATGGAAAACGACGAAGTGCAGTCGTAAATTATGTGGTAGACACTAAACTTGTAGATACTTCCTGTACCTTGAAATTTATATGAAGTAGTGTTTAGATCTAACGTATACACACCATTATGTATACACAAATACTCTATTATTACCAAAAAATACTAGCGTATTAGTCGTTTATAGAAGGTACAACCAGTGAGATCGGAAATGATTGAAAGAGAAACGAACAGGTCCGAGATGTAATACACGTATGGGCCGATTGTGTAAACTGTTTTATTGATAAAACGGTTCTCGAACGGTGTAATGTGCAATAACGAAGAGCGATCCGGTATTTTTGTTCTAGCATGACAGACCACCGATGTTCCAAATCGACTTCACTAGATAGTCTTGTGTACTCCGAAACTCCCTCTTAATAATAAAACATTTAATAAAAACGAACGGCGTCGTTGATCGTTTTCAGTGGACCTTTCGTTTTCGTTTGTTTAACATTAAAAACCTTTTCTTTCGTTGTGATCATGTTTAATTTAATATTTTAACACGTTGAATGCCGTAGAGAATTAACTATTCCCATTCTTAATAATAATTAGAGCTTCAATACGTCTCGTAATAAATGCCCACCGCGGCAGTCAACGTGTTAATTACAATACTTGTGAGTTAAGGTAATTAATTTATCAAAATAATTAACTAGTTCAAGTCTGAATTAGCTCAGGTAATTGTCTTTTATTTCTAATGTTTTGTGTTACATATTTTTGTTACAATTGACAATATACAAAATTTTAGACATATATTCTGAGGGATAATTACAATTTTGTTTACTCTAAATCTTCCATATCATCTTCATTCATGTACCGAACACCTCGATCAGAAGTTTCATATGTTGTAAACTCTGATGCATTCCTGTCCCTTTCTCTAGGAGTTTCTGGGAGCTGTTAAACAAAATAAGTAGCATTAGTAAACATAATATTAATTTAAATATAAATTACTCGACTATATGTTACCTCTTCTATTACTTCAGTGGTTAATTCTCGAGATGATCTCCTTGATGTCTTTTTCCCTAAAAAGAATACGATTTCTTGAAACAAGATAAACTTTTATGGAACCTTATGTTCCCCTTGGTCTAAAATAATTTGATGAAAAATGAATGTTGATTGAATTCTTGAATATTAACTTACTTCCATTGGATTGTTTTTCACTAATCTTCCGTTGATCTTGAGGAGTTGACGGAACTTTCATCTGAAATACAATCGTTATTCATTAATTGGGAAATTATAGAAACTATTTTATTAAATGGAATAATTACCGATAGTCGAATTTCGTCACCACGATCCTGGCAATAACCAGGTCCACAGACATCGAATTTACCCGGCATTGGTCGACTCTTATACATCTTACCATCCGTTCCCTTTATCATTCCTTCCGTCAGCTGGATTATTTCCGGTCCCCACTGAGTCAGGAAATGACCCACTCGCATTACTCTCTGTTGAGGAGTCGTGACTGTGTGACTTCCGCCACAATATCGATTGCACAGATGATCTCTGAAATGTAAAATTGAAATTAAAATTAGCCTTTGCTATTATATGCTCATATAAATAATGCAGATTATTAAGAGCATTAAATAGTCATTTTTTAAAGTATTATAAATTAATTCATATGTACCTAGGTGTCTTCACTAGAGTATCGGCTTTCGCGCTCCTTTGCTTTCTCGCGTCTTCCTGCAAGGCTGCCTCAAACTGAAGCATGTTTCTACTATGAGGCAACCTTCTATGCTGCTTTCTAACTTGATCTAATTCATAAGTTAGATACGGCTTCATGCTCCCAGTGCAAGGTAACGTTTCTGATCTAAATCTGTGAGAATCCTCCATTTTCATAACCACGTTCTTGTCACAAGATATACACTGAACATCCCTAAAATGAAATTCTCATCGAATCGATGCAAGAAAATTTTGAAATTCACATTTCATAATAGAGATTCCTTTTGTATTACTTGAGTAACTTCTTCGTTCCAGCAGCTTCGCTTTCTTGTCTCATTTGCGCAACGTTCTTTACTTTTTCTTGAAGCGACTTCAATTTAGCGCTTACGAAGTCTTTCAACGGTGTCATTTCCATTTTGTCAACCTTTCCTTCGATCTCCCTTTGCACTTCGTCCATAGCTTGCTGCCAAATTGATTCCTGCTTTCCTAATTTGTTAATCGCGTCTTCTAGACCTTGCGCCAGGTCATCGCAAGCTGCATCGAATTGATCGTACGATACCTAGGATGCAATAAGTTCACATCGTAAATCATTCTCTATTTTTATAATCCTTATTCAAGAAATTTTTTCACTTTTCTGGTTATCGCCTGAGCGTCAGCCTTGTCGGCAAGAGCGTCCTCGAGATCCTCTCTGTCCGCTTTAATAGTTTTCAGTAGTTCCACTTGCTCTAGCAAGGCCTGAAAAGAAATTTGTATTTTAATTATACCGGATGGTCCACGCAACGTGGGCACCTTTATAACTTCCAAAATATGCGTTGCACGAAAAAATGTTATATACAAAAGTTACATGGTTTAAAAGGGTACACTATGTAGTGTGTTAATTTTTTTTACAGGTGGAGGCGTTTCGGAGATTTGAAGGACAACTTTGTTTTTTTAAATAGAATACTATATTTTTAATACAAAAATGTTGTAGAGTATTCTGAGTAAAAAAGTATTGACCTTTATTAGCCCTAAACCTAATAGGTAACGAGTAATTTCACTTTATAACTTGAAAATTTTCTTCACGTAATATCAAGTAATATTAAGTAATATCCTTAATGCCAATGGATATCACTTTGAACACTTACGTTAGTTACGATAAGCCACACTGTCACGTAAGCATCGTTGTCCTGCGGAAATCTGTGGTAAGGTAGAATCTCCAACTTGATATTACGAGAAGAAAATTTTCAAGTTATGAAGTGAAATTACTCGTTACCTATTAGGTTTAGGGCTAATAAAGGTTAATACTTTTTTACGCAGAATTCCATACTCTACAACATTTTTGTATAAAAAATATAGTATTCTATTTAAAAAAACAAAGTTGTCCTTCAAATCTCCGAAATGCCTCCACCTGTAAAAGAAATTAACACACTACATAGTGTACCCTTTTAAACCATGTAACTGTTGTATATAACATTTTTTCGTGCAACGCATATTTTGGAAGTTATAAAGGTGCACACGTTGCGTCGACCACCCAGTATTTTACAAAGGTAAAATTAGTATTAATCTTGCAGGAAAAGTGTTATCCAAAGGAAATGGTAACAAAAGATAAAGAGCGATAAGAAGTATATTTACGTTGAGATGTATTTCACGATTTTCTCGGTCATCAATGAGGTTATCTGCAGTTTGATTCAGTTTATCCATGTCAGTTTGAATTCCTTGAATTTTCGAGACTAAATCATCGAGTTCAGCATTGCCGCTCACTCCAGCCATTGGTGCACTTTCAACTTTCTCGAACAAGCATGACACATCCTTCTCCAATTTACCGATACGCTCTCTCATCTCTTGTAATTGTTCTGAATCTATTGCATCTGCACCTTCAACAGCTTCTGATGTACTCTTTCGCGGTGTTGATTCCATCTGTTTTTCTTTGGAAGCATCTTTAGGCGCCGGTTTAGTTTCCTTGGGCGTTTCCTTAACACCTTCCGCATACTTTTCTGACTTTTCTTCTAGCTCTGATTCTTCTGCTGATGCATCGATATCTACTTGCGATTTTTTCGAGAGTTCCTGCTCTTTGTATTTAGCTTGTTCCTTTGCTACATGCTGTATCAGCTCTGTTTTTTAAATAAATGAATTCTTTAATTTTTTAAATTAATCTACAAGCAAAATTAGTTAATTCCCAAGTCAAATTTTAATATAAATGCCTTTGTGGACATTTATTAATTTTGCTATTTCTAAGATCAATATATCAATGTTAATTACCACTTTTTGATTTATGAATCTTTGTGTTCAAATTTTGTAGTTCTTCTTTCATTTGAGTAACTTGCCCTTGCAACGAGGCCACGTCTTGATTCATCTGTTTCACGTCTATTCCACCTAAAAGCTGACTTAACGAAACCCGTTGGCCCGGTTGTCCATTCTCCTTCGCAGTGGACGGTGCTTCTTGGAGTAAAATTTCTTCGCCATTATCCTCAGCGCTGTCGGATATTATTTGCAAGTTCTTGACAATCCGGTTCAAGTTTTCGAGGTCGATTTCTACATTTGCCAATCTGTCGTCCAGTTGGGACGTCTCCTCCCCCTCGAAACTTATATCCCCTTTCATCACGTCTTGCATCATTTTTGTCAACTGAAAATTGAGTTTAACGGTAGCTGTAATCTTATCACTTGGGTTTTATATATTATTACACTTTTCTCACTAAATTTTGTATCCCATCTTTCTAAGAAATTGACAGAGGAAGTGAACATGGTTTGTTAACAAAAATTTGTCCTAGTTTGAATTTAAAATCGTATCTCATGATGATATTTCTCTCTAGGAAAATGAAGTATCAATTGAAGTTATACCTTATCAATACCTTGTTCAGTGGCATCCAATCTTTTTGTTATATTGATAATTTGCCAAACGTCGGTCACAGGGTCGGTGACTTTACCCTTCACACGTTCCACAAGTTCAGGGGTTGTTGCTAATTCTTCCAGAACATGAAATTGGTGACGAAGTTCGTTCACCTAAACGTACACTTCGGTAAAATAAATTGTATTTCATAAATATAGAACATAAAATCTAAACAGATCAATGGAAATATGAATTTTTATCATCAGAATCAAAATAATGATATATTTCATTTTAATTAAACATTTAAATGTCTTCTCAATTACGGATTGTTCGAGGCGTTTGAATCCTAATGCTGTAGGTGTCGAACCATCGACAAGTGGTTCCACATAGATGACCGTTTCCGGTTCGCCATTCACCCCAGGACTAATTTTCTGTCTTGTACCTTTGGCTGTTTTTAGATCTGCATCTGCTTGTGAATGTGTAGACATTATTTCTGAAAATGTTAAATGTTTGTTTTAAAATTCCAAGGAAAAAAATAGCAATGCAAAATGGGATGTATCTTGAACGAAAACCTTTCTCTATCACAGATTTTTCACTTTCTGCAACTGAACCGCTTCCGGTTTTTACCGCGGGAGTTTCTACAGGACCTGTTGCAAAGCGTTCAGAATAAATCAATCTTAGAAAATTGGATGCACCTTCAAGCAGTACAGAATTTGCTCGTACCATCTACAACTACATCAACGTTCAAACTTGCAGGTTCGCCGTCCTGAACGCGTTGTTTCACATCGTTGGCACCACTAATAATACTGTACTCCTGGAGATGAAGCGAAGGACCTGCTTTCAGAGAGCTTACCATCGTCTGGAAACGAGAGATCCAATTTACATGCAGCTGATCAATAAAATACAATGAGTTTCAATAATCAATAATGACAACAGAACAATAAGAGCATAACAATTAGTTCCGAATTGAAAATAAATTGGGAAGTAATTATTAATATACATTATTATAAAAGTATCCAAATAATTTCTATAGTTTCTAATAAGAAATCTGAACACGAGCTTTTCTCCTTTGCTCATAATTTTAAAACAGCTCCAATGAAGATGATCTTCAAACAATTTTCCATCGATAATTGCATGATAATTAATGAGGCAATTAGATCTTACTTTGATTCGATTTGCATCCTCGCCACGATATTCAACTTTAGTTGTTCGCAAATTAATTTGATGCAGTAAAATGTGCAAGAAGTGGTGCAGGATGTTCAAATTTACAACTCCAACCTAGACGTGAATGTAAAACGATGAACCTGCCGTTAAAATTTCTCTTATCTTTCATTCTGTGGTTAGATTGGACGTTTTACAAAGAAGAAGAATCTTTACTTCTGGAGTTCCGAGTGCAAGATCCAACATTTGAGGTAAAGAAACCTGTAAACTCGCTATGTCATCAGGGGCAGGGTTTGCAGGCGTTGCAACTGGTGCTTTTGCGGTTTCCGCTGACATTCTACGTCACTCGAAAAATTTTTCCTACTATTCGTGAAAAGAAAAAACATAATAAGAATGTCTTTCGTTTCTCCTGTAACCCTGCTGTAATTCGACCACTGAAATGTCATTTTTGAAAGGGTGCCTGTTCGGCTTTTGTTCGATTCCTGTGCCATCTTCACGGTTAACGGGGATTAATTAAAAATTGGCATGTTATCGATAATTACAATCTCGTCAATGAATGAAAGTGAATGACATCGGGAGTAGCGGCTCCCCGCTTAAGATTTCTCCACGTGAAAAAAAAAGAAAAAAACAGCCAATGATTCAAGTAAAGGTAGCTGGCTGCGGCACCATTATTAACCGTTCGACCTAGAGCGAGGTGAAACACTATCAGTCCTAAAGCGACCGCCGAGGGATGCAGATCTACCTGATAAACGTACACATACCTTTATTTTATTTTCTGCATTTATTTAATCTGCTGTATTTATCTTCTTAGCTTATTGAATAAACTCATTAGAAGGAAGAACGTTTCAGGGGTTATTTATTCTATTACTCTTGTGTGCACCCTTTACATCCCTGATTCCTTTACATCTCTGCACCCCGTACATCCCTGCATTATTTACATGCTAGCATTCCTTACATCACTCCATCCTTTACATCCCTGCTTTCTTTATATTCCTGCATCCTTTACATCTCTGTCATTCTTACAGCCCTTCATCCCTTACATCTCTGCACACCTTACAACCCAACATTCCTTACGTCACTGAATCCTTTACATTTGTGGCGGACAAAATTTGAACTAAAATTCCGACGTCCAATCAGCGTATTTGTTTTATAATAAATAATTGCAGTGCACATGCGCTACAGATCCGGTCGTACCTATCACTATCCCGAACCAGTAAGTTTGACGATTTGTTCGTTTTTAGGTCTTATATTTCGCTAGACCCGGTCGTACCCATCACTATCCCGAACAAGTAAGTTTCACGATTTGTTCGTTTTTAGGTCTTACATTTCGCTATTTGCTTCGGGTTCCCTGACACCCCGGTGGCATAACATCGGTATGCAACGTCACCGGTACCTCGGGGTCTCAGATACCCCGAATGCAGTAATGTCGGTAAACACACAGTGTCATCGGTGCTTCCGGTCCCTGACACCCCAGATACCAAAATGACGATGTGCAAACAGTGTCACCGGTGTTTCGGGGTTCCTGATACCACAATATGATATCAGGTCGGTACGCAGAGTGCGTCATTGGTGTAGCGGAGTCCTTAACACACCTGGATAATACCAGATCCGTATGAAGAGGGCACAACTAGTATAATTTTTTTCCAGAGTTTATTTAATTTACTTAATTTATTTTTTTTTGCTTATTAAATATACTCATCGAAGGGGAATAACATTTATGATTATATCCCTCTTCTAGGTCTCAGCCGAGGAGCCCATTTATTTTACTTTTTCCAGTTATTTATATAATTTTATCCCTCATTATAGGCCGAGACCATCTCAGTATCCTTTACATCCCTGCATTCCTTCCATCTCAGTATCCCTTCCATCCCTGCATTCCTTCCATCCCAGCATTCCTTACATCCCTGCAACCCTTAAATACCTTTTTTCTTTTCTTTTTTTAACGTGGTGGAAATCTTCAGAAAGACACCTTCAGCCCCTCTGGGGAGGGACCGGAGGTAGTGTAGGATTTTTACCCACTAAAACCACCACGGTGGCCTGCACTAGGGCGGCAGGGAGGGTCCTTTGACCTTCCGCCATGTGCCAAACCCCGCCGACATCGGGGGCCACGCACTCCTCAGGCTGCGTGCAGTGGAGACCGGGGTCCCAGCCCCGGGCCCCTACGGAATTACTTTTCATCCCTACATTCTTTTCATCCCTACATTCCTTACATCGCTTCATCCCTTACATCCCTACATCCCTTATAATAAATATATTATAAAGACTGCTTCGAGTAAAAGTAAGTAAATTTCGTGAAAATTTCGTGAAAATTTCGAAGAAAACAGCGCCCCCTAGCGGCAAAAATTTGAACTAAAATTTCGATGTCGAATCAGCGCCCTCTGGCGGCGAAACAAGGAATTAAATCTTGCTCAATTTCTGGCCCTCTGGCGGCTAAAATGCGAACTAAAATTTCGACGTCGAATCAGCGCCCCCTGGTGGCGAAATACGGAATTAAATCCTGCTCAATTTCTGGCCCTTTGGCGGCAAAAATGTGAACTAAAATTTCGACGTCGAATCAGCGCCCTCTGGTGGCGAAAAAGGGAATTAAATCTCGCTCCATTTTTGGCCCTCTGGTGGCAAAAATGTGAACTAAAATTTCGACGCCGAATCAGCGCCCTCTGGCGGCAAAAGAAGGAACTAAATTTGTATAAAATCGCAGTCTTATAGCCGCAAAAATTTCAATTCAATTTCAGGGAGGTACTGGGATTTATTGAATGCAAGAATATAAGCGATACAGGGATGTAAAGGATACAGGCATGTAAGGAATGCAGGGATGCAAGGGATGTTGAGATATAAAAAAGGCAGGAATGTGAGGAATGCCGAGATGTAAGGGATGTAGAGATGTGAGGAATGCTGGGATGTAAGGGAAGCAGAGATGTAAGGGATGTTGGGATATAAAGAAGGCAGGAATGTAAGGAATGCCGAGATGTAAGGAATGTAGAGATGCAAAGAATGCAGGGATATAAGGGATGAAGAGATGTAAGGCGCGACAATTATACCGACAATAGGTAATACCGACGAATACCGACGGTAGGTAATACCGACGAATACAGACAGTAGGTAACACCGACTATATATATAAGATAACTCTTTTTAGTTATGAGTGCGGGGTATGATAAAAGAGGGACTGTTAAAACAGAGCGACTGTCATACCAACTGTGCTCTGTACATCCTAATGTACAGGCACATCCAGTTCTTTTTTATTTGTAGTCACTGTTGCGGCTCTATTAGTTTCAGTGCTTACTGTCAGATGACGCCCTGAATACCGTTTCGAAAATTCGAATCAATATAAAATTAAAACATGTACAAAAATAAAAATTACAGAATATTTTCAATTTATTATACTCATTTTCTATCATTCATATGATATTCCGTTGTGTTATTGTACATAGGTTAATACAATCAGCTATGTATGCTATTTGAATATTATTTTAGTTGTTAATTTAAATATATTAGCATTATCCTTTTTCTTTAACCCTGCTTCCTCGTTCCCTGTGACAGAAACAAATTGCAGATCCGTTCAAAATAAATACGTCAGCGAGAAACTAGAACGAGGATTACGATCTTGTCGCAGCTACAATACAAACTTTCATTAGTATTGGAACCTCTAGAAAGTTACCGTTACGCCGTTGCACCGATAAAGCGGAATTAATCGTTTTCCGTATCGGCGATATAAATATTAGCGATCGATTCATCCGTATCGGATGGACATCGCGAACGATCAACGATGTCATACGGCGCGCCGAGTAAAATATGTACGTCGCGAACTAATCTGCCGTTTTGATCGTGAATTTGTTTCTATTCCACGATAGGAACCACCTGTCACGTACGCTCAGATAAACGGTTTTACTATGCAAAGAACGGCGCGCGATGAATTACTGTTTCGTTAATATGACACGCTGGTAACGCGATACGAGACCGAAGTCGTTTTGAATCGGACATCTGAACAGAAAAACGAACAGGTGTTACATTTTTCAACGTGACAAATGCTTCCGTGTTTTCTTTGAATATAGTATAAGGTGTTCCACTTTTACTTTACGCAATGTATTTTCTAGTTTTAAGCGACTATTAGTACTTATCTTAGAATTTAATCAGCAATAATTTGAGAGAAATAAAAAATAAAAAATTGAAATTATCAATAACTTAACTATTTTAAAATTAATGAAGACATTCATAAAATTTCAGGCGTTACAAATTTTTATTTTAATATTTAAGTAATACAATTTAAAATTTACCATGCCTTTGCTTTTTAAATCTTTTATTTCATTTTGATGACATTTACATTTTATGGTACAATAAAATAACACGAAACAATTGTTAAACATTCCATGTAAGAAGGTTTATAAACAAAATCCTTTGTAGAATTTTAAAACATTGCATGTTAAGAGATTAACTTCGATAGAAAAGAGGAATTATTGAACAAACGACATTAGGACAATCGTAACTCGTGTTCTCGAGTTACGCGCGATAAATTCGATCTGACTGGTTGTTTCAGTCACGCTGTTTGATCTACGGACCGAATGTTTAATCGTGAGTAATGTCATTATTCTTCCACTGCATTTACGACAATTGTAATAGGATTTCCAGTAGCCATTCGATAGAAGTTACTCGTCTGCTAGATGATTCAGTCGGCCGTCAGGTGTTGAACGCGTTGCATGGACCCATCTGTGTCATGGATTCCCTTTAATTTCTTCCCTTTGGATTTTCATATCAACGTCAATGCGAGAATAGGACCTGAAAAGCATGAATACGTCAAAATGGAGCCTCGTCCCTATAACAATGGTGAGAAAAACATCTATATTTGAAAAACATTCGAAGAGAAATTAACTCATCGTTTTTATATTCATAAAAAATAATATTAGTAGTAGTAATGAGCACTTGGCATTCGGTACTTTAAATGCAATAAAATAACAATCGAGTCGAAAATTTGATTCTCAGAAGAACTTCGAGAATTTCGATAACGTTTTTTACGAGATCTTCGAAGTACCTTTATTTTTCCTCCAAGGTAATATTCTAAACTTTAAACACCTCTTCCTGACGAATTACCAACTCGAACAATCTAAAACACTCTCCTCGAGAGACCTACAATTCCCTAACAGCAATCTCAGCACAAGCCATCCTAGAGTAAACTTTAAACCCGTCAACTTTCCACCAAACTTTCCACTCACCTTTGCAATTCTTTTCGCAGCTCGCGTTAATCTCCACAGGCAGTCCAGCCTCGTCGAATCCTGTAGAACAGCAAGATCTGCAGAAACGTCACGTACCAATTGCGAACCAGTCGCTTGCCGTACAACCCTACTGGGAGCACATGCTTCGTGAATTCGTGTTCAAGACAATCTCACCGCCGCCACCGGGCAACAACCGGCTGTACAAACGCCTGTTGGACGCCCCATTTTACGCTGGTCCGTTTCCAATGGTCTCGAACGATGTGCCCAGCATTACTTTGTCGCGCGGTGACGTTTATTACCTGCCGAACGGACACTGGCTGTTCTGTCAGGAAGGTTGTATCAGTTGCGAGGTCTGCTCGGAGCATACGCACCCAACAGTCAAATGGGTGCTTCGTAGGGTGAGAAGGTACTCGACTCAAGGCTCCAGCAGGCACGATCTGCAACTGACGATCATACCTCAAACCGACGGTAGTTACCACATGAATAACCTCTGGCCTCGATCTTACGTCTACGTAACGTCACAGGGCGAACAGGCTGCTTATTGGAACGACAAACTTGGTTACCATGGGTTAGGAGCTTACGTGAATCTCGAAGATGGGTCCTCAGGGCCGAGAGAGAAGACGAATAATTTCTGGAGGTACGTGCAAAGGGATTCCTTGGCTGATAGACGACATCCCGGGGAAAAGAAGAATGATACCATTGCTGGAGAGACTTTGGAGAAGATACCTAAGGTCGATGTCGAAAGCACCACAGCAGCACCTCTTGAAGAAAGTACAACTACAAAGAAGGCTCCATCGAAGGATCTTGGAAAACAACGTCCACGTGTTATTCAGAATAATTCTGATAAGAAAGGAACGAACGTCTCCTCGATTTCGAATGAGAATTGGAAGAATAAGTTGAAACAGCTCGTGCCGAAGCTGATCCTTGGCACTGATCAAACGGGACAGAAGCATTTGGTGCACGTGGTACCGGCTGACGTGCCGACGAACGCGACATCGATAAATTCTCTTGCTTCCAATCTCCTGAACTCGACTGGTCAGAGCAAGATAGCCTATCAGCGGATATTGAGGAGGATCTTCGATTCGTTGAACAGCAACAGGCGGCCTATAGAGAATTTTCTTGAACCTTTCAAGCAATCCAGTGAGAGGATTTGTATATTACACTACTGAAGTAATTTCATCAGATTCATACTAACGATTTGTACTTTTTATTTTTTAGGAAAAATTAGTAAACCAAATGAGGAACATCAGCAAGAGGAGACGAAGAATGGTCTTTATCCAGTTCTGGATGAGAGAACTCGAAACGAATCTCTGTTGCATAATCGCTGGCCTTTCACTTTGAACTGGAAAAGGCAGCGAAGGAAATCAAACGATGGAGTATTTGTCAGTGATTTTACAAAGAGTACAGGTAATCCTGGATGGAACAGTAATCATAATTCGAATTCCGAAATACAAAATCTCACTGATTCAACGATCAATCCGTATGTTAATAATCGAAACGGTTCTGTCGGATTCCATCCTGGAATAATTAATCGTGATGATTATAGCAGTAGCGCTTCAAACGATAATTTGGAATTGATGATCGTCCATCAGAACAACCGTATGTACGAATTTACACCTCGTCACTTTCAATTATTCGTTGGTCCTTTGCCAACGAGAAAACCAGAAGAGATTGTACGTCCAAGTAAAAATAATCAAAATCAATCCGATTCGATTCCTATGCACCAAAGTATCGAGCTCAAAGATGTCTAAGATCCGTCACATATTAATTAAATAAAATTCAATTCGATAGTTTCGTAAATTTTGTTTCTGTAAAATAATTTCTTCCTGCAGGTAAATTAAAATATTATTTTAATTCGCGTAGAAACGAAATCCTCTCGCTATTGTATGCCTAAATATCTCATAATAAAACAAAGTAATTGCGTGGAGGCTCGTTACGCCGTTTAAACACCATAAGCCTAGGGTAGCGCCATCGGCGTCGCCGCTAAGAGGATCGACGATCCTTAATCAGTTCAGGCACGATCGTTTAAAACGATTATAACCCTTCCTTGTCCCTCGATCGTATCACCAGTCTCGTATCTAGGGGTGAAACTGTACTTCTATCCTGCATTTGACCTTCATAAGCTTATTCTACCCTTCTAGTAATCGTGTGATAATGGAAACACACTTCAAGACGCCTTTACATATATTAAATCATAGTTTATCAACATTTATAACTCACTGCTTCGTTCGAATAATTTTCTATAAATTTGGGTTAAAATTGACCCCAATGTTGATTAGATAAGTGATCGAATTCCTACAAGAACAGAGTATTCTTTGCTCCATCAGCTAGGCAGAGGGTGGCAGGAAAGATGGGGTGAGAGAAGGGTGCAGGTGCGAGACGACGGATTCAGGCGGTAAGGTTTGAGGAGCAGAGGTAAGCCGGCGCTTATATTTAATTAAGGAGGATACGGGTTCGAGCCAAGAGAGAGAGAGAGAAAGTCGGCAGCAGCCCCGAGAGACTCCTGCTGAAGAAAGTGATAGAAAAGGTCTGTGTTTCTTGTCTAATTATCTACCCTTCGCGTCCTGCCAACCACGTTCACTTTCCACGTCTGCTCGTGCTATCTCCCACCCGATTTCCGTCCAACTTTCTTACTCATCGTTTCATTTCCTCCTTGTTTCTCCACCTTTCTTTTCTTCCTTTCATTTTCTTCCGTTTCCTTTCTCCTTCGCTTGTCTATTTCTTATTGAAGTCGAAACGATCCGAGATATCGTTCCTCCTTTTCTTGGCCGGCTCCGATTTCGTCATCTCATAGTTGCGAATCAAAACGAACGTCTTGCACGTGGTTGGAAGTTTTTAATTAGATCGAAGTTTTCAGATGATTAACCATTAACGTGATATCAGAAGAGGATCTTGCGTACTGGGTAGGAAAGAGGGTGGAACAGACCCTCCTTCATCGAATCTTATCTTAATGGAAATAAATATTTAAATCAAAATGCAATATGCAATGTGACTAAAACATTCTTTATTTACTTTACAATGTTGTCAATATAAGCAATTTATATTTTAAGAATTGAGTAAAATTCAAGATATCAAGGAATTTTATACTAAGAATGTTTATAAAGGGTATTAACTATCTGTGTAGTTAGTTTTGTTTTAACCCTCGGAGGGCAGACCACGAAGAAAGCCCCAGTTTTAAAAACTTTCAATGAAACTAGGGGATCTAGTACATCTTAGACAAAATTCTAGTTACGACAATAATCTCACGATTTACAGTTGCGTCTACAATAATAAAAGAATATAATCTTCTTTCTGCTTTCTTCCGAAGCGTCTCTCTTTTCAAACCATCCCAACTTACCCCTCGAAACTCTTCAGCTTCCTGTCTTTCTTTCGCGTCTTTTCGAACCGCGCAAAACGATCGATTCGATTGCTGCTGGATTGGTTTTAACGAGTTTCCTTTCAGCACGGTTTATCGAGAATTGCGGCCGCTTTCGTGGAGCTCCAGAAGCCGAATACGCCGGGGAAATTTCGACGGAAGATCTTAATTAAAGACGCTCGATCAAAAAATCAGAGAGAGAGAGAGGGTGGTCCTTCTTTGTCGAGCACGGGACCGAGATTGGTGTTATTGCTTCGATGCTAGGCACTTCTATTATCATCTCGTCGTCGATTCCATTAACGACTGTGTATATAATTCGAGAAACGCTCGTGTCGATCGTGGAATCGAGAGGCGTCGCTCTTAATGGGATCGTTAACTAGATTCGATCGAGAAATTACGAGAATCTTACTTGGAGGATACGTAAACTGGCACGAAATTAATCTACCTTCTCAAAAAAGATAGGTCGTTCGCGCAAATAATTTTAATGGATTTTCACGAAGAAGATTGGACGCGCTGAAACAAAATAAAATTGCTTACGGGATGCTTTTACGCGCGTCGCCGTTCCGTACGAGTCGAATTGAGTTCAGTTTAATGAATTAAAAATAAAAATCAACAAATTCGAAGGAGAGAAAAAGAAATCTGAAAAGCACGCGCGATCCCTTCTCGCACGGTTTATTTCCATTAGGATAATTGTTATTTACGTTTACCGGTGTAACGCAAAGAAGAACGACGATACGTCGAGGATGCGCACGCGTGCACGCTAATAAATTAACCTTTATATTAGTCTTTTTCGTAATTAAAATATGCTTCGTCGGGATAATGATACGTTCCAGCGGTGCACACAGTTAACGGGATAAATTATATTAAAACGACAAGTCTTTGTTCCGCGGACCAGAAAATGGAGAATTATAAAAAAACAATTACTCTTCTGTAATGTTTCTATATGTGCAGGAGTAAAATATTTAAAGCGAAGGGTTAAACTAAATTTTTTCATCCTGCTAGATCAAAATTATGTTATGTGTCTCTTTCAATCTTTGTTTCTGTGTTTCCACTAACAGCTTTTAGTTACTTGTCTGACCACTCAGAGTGTCCGGGCTGTTCTACTTGTCTGATCACTGAGGGTGGCCGGTCTATTCTACTTGTCACTGATTTATACTACTTGTCCGATTACCTCATTGTCAGTCCTATTGTCCCTTACTACCTACAATTAAATGTTCTCCAATATTTTAAATGATACGAAATTTCAATAGTAATCAGTATAATTAATTATGAATGAATTCATGAACTTTTATTATTTTCCAAATATGGTTGCTTTCTTGTGCACGGAACACTTGACGCCCGCCAAACAAGTATTTTCGCAGGAGAGTATCAGGTATTTCATTAATATTTTCCAAAAATATCGTCTGACTAGAGGTTTCGGCTCAACGTGGTTACACGTTACGTTCAAAACATTACACTCAAAATGATAAATTTCGAATTTCGGTATTGCAAAAATCACGAGTCAACGGTTGGACGGTCGCACAATTTAAATAATATTTATTTCAATGATCACGGATACGCACGATCACCACCGATTTGAATATTTTCTACGTTCCGATCATCGTGGAGTTTCGTTTTTATTTCTGCAGGGTATCGTTATTAACGATATTTGCACCCTCTCCGTTGAAAAAGCGATTTAATAAACGTTTGATTAAAGCGTACGCTTATGAAATGAAACTGAAAAGGATGCGGGGGTTATAGAGAAAGAGAGAGGAAGAGGAAAGGTGACAGTCGCTTAACGAAACGGAATTACAAGAACGGCACTTTGACCGATCAAAAAATAATGAAAATATTATTTCCCGGAACAATTCGACTTCCTTTCGGCTATTTTTACCTCTGGAATCCCATTGAAATATCTCCTGCAAATATTATTGCAACAAGAATTTAAATTTTATTATATCGCCCAATCATTCGCCATTCATTTGATTGCTCGCGTTCTCTTCAATCAGACATCGACATTTCCTATTAATATTCACCTGTATTAACCCCTCAAAAATTGATTACAGTCGATTCATTTGAGTACAATTACGTTAATTTGGCATTTTCACATTATCTACGATGTAAATTTTATTTTACATACTTTTCTAGTATACAATTAATCTAACAAAGAAAATTTCTGTTTAGTTCAAGTGTCAAATAAGAATGTATAATTTTTTTTATTACGTTACCCCACATTTTATGCAAAAGCGCCCAGTGTGCGTCGCCTCGGTTGCTCGCGAATCTCCGTGTACACAGAGGAAAGGTGATCCTGTAAACGGCGCGAGGCGTTCCAGCGAAAATAAGAGGGGCTAAAAACGAAAAGAAATCATTCGAAAGAGAAGAGGTAGGGGAGGAACGAGGCTTTTAGCGTTAAGACCGTGAGGGTTTCCAGCTGGTTCGATGGAAGATTGACGCTTTGCGAGCAAGGAGCCAAAGAAGGCAGGTGTAGCCGAGCTAGAGGAAGGCGAATAAAAGAAACACACGATGGGAAAGGCTGTCTTTCCCGTTCCCGGATATTTAAATCCGTACGCCGAGCTGCGAGCCGAAATCTCGAAGATATGGGGCGACAGGAGGTGTTCGTCTGGAACGGTGTACGTTGAACGTTGCATTGAAAGCAAGCTTCGAGGAAAAGAACCTTAAGGATGGGGAAAGGTAAGAAGGAAGAGGTAGTTGTTCGAGCGTAACGTGTATGCTTGTCAGGGTAAGGCCGAAAGACGTAGTGCTTGGCAGAGTTTTGCGGGCCTCTCCCAAGGAAACACGGAAAAAGGCGTAAGAAGGAAAGGTAGGAAAAGATTCAGAAGCTTCTTCCTTAATGGTGTGGGTGTGCCGACAAGTGGAGAAGCAAGTTTTAAAAACATCCTATCCAATACGCCTCTGATGCTGGTTTTATCATTGCCTCTTACTACTTCTACGAACAAGTCTGATTCCTCCATGAACCCCAATCCGACAAAGGCTTTTCCTTTTCGGGTTTGCTAGCCAAGCTACTCGCGTTTTACGTGCCGTTGCCTGTAAATCTTGCCGAAAAGTGTTCGCTGGAATCGAGAAACACGTCAAGGAGTTACACATGGGCGAGCTGTTACAGCTGGGAGAAGTAACAATTGCACCAAAGAAATATGTCTGGCGAATTCTTCTTAAATCTATAGCTTCAATTTGCTTATAATATTTACAAATTTCTTTCGTTAGTGTAAGAGCGAGAGGAATCTTAAGAACCATTGGAACGATCTGGGCCTACGATGGGACGGTATATAATCGGGGTGACAGTAACCAGAATCACCCTTGACATTCCCATCGTAAACGCAGGTTAAGTTCAGAAATATTTGAAGAGTCAGCTGACGCGTCGATGGGTTTCTCTAAAAGAGTGGGGCACGTGGCCCTTTTTAAAAACGGTCGGAAAAGTGCGGAAAGGCAGAACGTAGAATAAACGATGCAGAACGAGACGTGCAAGAATAGACCTTCAACGACAAGAGACCGACG